GCTAAATTGCTACTCAAATTTATATCTGGAGAAGTTATAGTGTTCTAGAGAACTGATAATATTTGCTAAGTATATCTTACTTCCATTTTAATAATCAGAAAATATTCTGTTTAATAGAAACTGGTTAGAGTTGGTGTCCACTGGTATCCATATGTTTATGATTATCTCATTACTTATCTTGCTCTGCTCTGCTGATATTTTTAAAACTTGCTTTTAATTTTAAAAAGATTGAGAAGCTATACATCAAAGTAGCAGTTTTTAGCATCAATCAGGAACACTTCTGAGTCACATAGACATTCTTAGAAAGTAAAAAAAAATGTGGTTACAATTGAGTAACTTGCTGGGAAACATATTTATCTTTCCAGAAGAAAAGCTGTAATATGTCTTTCTGAAAATCCTGAGAAGCAGTCAAACAAGCATTATCTAACCATGGCACAAATATGCCTTTATACACATAGTCCTTGTCTTATGACCATTCATTTAATGACTGTTCAAAGTTACAGCAGCACTGAACTAAGAGACTTTGGACCAGCCCCAAAGTTCACAGCTGTTGCAATGTCCCTGCAGTCATGTGATCAAAATCTGGACACTTGGCTGCTCACCCAGATTTACGACTGCAGTGACATCAATTCCTCTTACCTGCCTATCTCTCCCCATCTACACCCATTTGGTCCTGTCCCCTTGCACACCATTGCTTGACAGACATGCTGCAGTTTGTATCGGGCAAGCCTTCCTCCCACTGCAACAAGCAATCTTCTTCCTGCACACATCTGTTAGCTGATAAGTCATAGCTGATAGGCACATAGAGGGGAGGCAGCATGCTGTGGCCAGACAGCTGCAGTTCATAACCCAGTGAGGGTTCTGAAATGTAGTCAGTCATTCCTGCTGCATCATGTAATCCTGGTACAATAGGTTGTGTGATACAGTGGGACTCTTATTCCCACAGTTGTAGCACAAGGCTTCTACAATTGGGTTAGTTTACAGTTTCTCTAGCACGGTCAGCAGCTAGCGACAACAGAAACTATGCAGTACTCCAAAACTACTTTTTTATCATTTGACAATCCTGGAAATGTTTTTTATGTTTCGGATACATGGGGGGAATTAATGTATGTCTTGAGTAGGGAATGTATGATCACAAATAAATGTGACAGGGGAATTAAAATTGTTCTTTTCCTTTCTGGTTCTAACTGCTTGATACTATTATTCAATATATACCATACCAATAAAAATGAAATAAAATACGGATTAAGGTAGCTATCCTCCTATTTCCTACACAATTTATTTCTGTGTAGGTTTGACTGTATAACCTTATCCTAAACTGTTGTGTTTATTTGATTATGTGTCATTGTAATGATACATAGATTTTCTTCATGATTATTTTTTCCTAACCCATTCTTTCACATCTCCCAACAGCGCCCTCATCGCTACTGTAACTGAGTCCATCTGCCTTGCTGCTGCTGGTCATCCTCTTCTTCGCTTTCCTTCCACCTTTCCCAGCATTAGAGCCTTTTCTGGACAGATTATTTAATTAAATTGAATAAATTCTTATACATACCAAAATTTTCTATATTTCTACATAGTGATTTTGCTTCTTTCTCATGGATTAACTTCCTAAAATTTCTCTTTCTTATGAAGTGTTAATGAATTATGATTCATTTTATAATGAAGTGAGTAAATATGTAATTGTACAATAAACTCATTCTCTTTCTCCCTGATGGGTATAAGGTGCATTTCATTGTATGGCCTTCCATTTGCTCTTTACTATATCCTGCTATAATTAAAATATTGGCAATTCTCCACTAGTGCTTTCAATTCTATTCTGTAAAACTTCTGCTGTTAATTACCTGTTAACTATCCACTACCAAAGATATATTGTAGTTTTCTATTTTGTAGATCAATCTCAAGGAAGTTATTTTGTATATACTATGGTTTTGAATATGTACATCTATTGAAATATTTTTCATATCTGAACATTCCATTTCAATTACTTTGATGTAATCACAGTTTTGGTCACACTTACTTTTAATAGTATGCTATACATTCATTCAAAAGTTCCCTTAACTGTAGGAAAAGAGAACAAGCGACCTCTGCTGATCAAGTGATGGAGAATAACATCCAAAATTCATAAAAGGAACACCTTTATAATATTAGGTCATTGAACGTTATATAAAGTCACTACAGGGTTATAACAATAAGTTATCAGGCAAATTGTGAAGTGAGAAATTCTATCTATCAAAGAAAGGATGTATGGTATATATATCTCCTCTAGTCTTTCTTTCTGCACTCATTCAATCCTCTCCTCCTATTTTCTAGAAGTGGTGGCAGTGTTAGTCTGGGTATTCTACTTTGCAAACCCTAAAAACAAAGTGGAAAAATTGTTGCCATATTCCAAGCTGCCATGGATCTTGCAGTAACAAACAAACAAATAATTCACTCCTACTACTACGACTCAAGAGGAAAGTAAATCAAATGCACTCTATTGCAGGAAAAGCAAAGACTCATCTTATTGCACCTTTATAGAAATTATTGGATTATATTACAGTATAAGGTGCCTACTTTCTTGCTTTCCACTTTATGGAAAGATTATGATCCTTACCTATCATAAGCTAGGAAAGAGTTCATTTTTCATATATTTAAGTCTCATCATAGGGTACTTTTTTTATATTCCTTGCTATTTAACCTTTATACTTTGTCCCAGCATACAAACCACTATGAATATATACTACATATACAATTACACTCCAAGAATTTGGTGATATGATTTGTATTTTATAAAAAAATGTTTTTAATGAGCTGCACTTTCCTTTGAGACAGCTCAAGATAGGAAGCAAAAGCAAATAAACTTTGAAGGGAATTTTGAGAGTGTATCATGATACCACATGCACTTTAAGTTGCTGAGATGCAGGTAACAAATGTTGGATTGCAAAGCAGTCTATAGATTCCAGATTTCATAGAATATTGTGAGATTTTGCACTGCAGTATCAAGACATATGTTTCATTATATAACACACATTTCATCAAGAAGTAATGCCATATAGCCAAAATGGCTATTATTCATCCTAAATTAAAATTCATGATCCATTTTTTCATTTAGTTTCAGGGCTGCACTTAAAGTGAGATAACTGGATAAAACTGAATTAGTGATTTAAACCAAGCAAGAATATCTTGGCTTAGCATATTGTGTAAATCTTACTTTAGTGTGTCCTCTTTTTAGATTTTACTCTTTTCATTTGCATTATCCTTTTAGGAGTTCTATGACGCTCAAGCATGTACTTGCTGTGGAGTTACTCAACAAAATCTAATATCAGTGAAGAGTAACCAACATTTCCTATAATCATTATGGGACAAGCACCTTTATATAAACTATATGAAATGGTATTTTATGACAATTGTGTCCCAGCATTCCTGTAAGGAGTTCAGCATAACATGTATCAAGATTCCACCCAACCTTCTATACCCGGGTGTCAAACCATGTCATGTGACTTTTTTGCATTGCCAGAGTTGGGGTGGGCGCGGCCTCCATATGACGCAACCGGCCCACAGGCTGGCAGTTTGACATCCCTGTTCTATACTCTCAACAACAACTAGCTTGAGATATAATCATTTAGTTCCCTCAACCAATAAAACCACAATCACTTTGTTAAACAATCTAATTGACTGGATTTGTTCAAAACAACCATCTGCAAATCATGCTTTACTAACCTCATGCTGGGTTCACACTATTTCTGAAGTCAGATAAGCCGTATTATTATGTCACATGTGTGAATTAGGCTAGCAGTCAATCTTTAGATGGTTAGTGATGTTGGTAGTCAAGTGGAACTTGAACATAGCCCTCACTAATCCCAGTCTGATTATAGGATTAGGGATCAATATTTCAGGAGGACAAAGGATGGAAATTAATCAAGGAGAAAAGCAATCTATTGTAGAACTAAGGGCAAATTTCCTAACAGTGAGAACAATTAACCAGTGGAACAATTTGCCTCCAGAAGTTGTGGCTGCTCCATTACTGCAGGTTTTTAAGAAGAGAGAGAACAGCCATTTGTCTGAAATGGTATAGGGCAGGAGTGTAAAACTGCCGGCCCGTGGGCCGGATGCATAATGCGGAAGCCGCGCCCACCCCATTGCTGGCAATGGCAAAACCGTCCTGATACGTTGTGCAATGTCATGTGACATCACGAGTTTGACATGTCTGGTATAGAGTTTCCTGCTTGAGCAGGGGGTTAGACTAGAAGACCTCCAAGGTCCCTTCCAACTCTGTTATTTTTTATTTTATTTTCACCAGCTTTGGTACACTTAGGGAAAGGAAGCTGAGATAGACAGTGGGCTCTGGCCATGAATGCAAGGAGCAGGCCATCTAGTGGATTCTACAGACTATTCTTCTAGAACAGACCTGTCAAACTCGTGATGTCACGTGACGTCCCGTGATGTATTGGAACTGTTTTGCCATTGCCAACAATGGGGTAGGCACACTTCCACGAGACGTGTCCGGCACATGGACCAGCAGTTTGACACCTCTGTTCTAGAACCACTATTTTAGACACTTTTCTGGGATACATTTCTATGGCAAAGTTTAATTGAATCATAATGATTCATTATTGATAATAAATAAGTAAAGTAAACCTAGTAAACTGATCACATATCTTGGCAGGCTAAAATCTGACTGGCTAATTTGTGATTCGGTGTCCTATAAAAATATAATCCACAAATATAATTGCTATCATAGACCAATAGTTGAATTAATCCCTGTCACAGCATCTACCCAACTTGGCTTTTCTTGTTATTACTCGGATGGGAGAATAGCTGGAAAGCTATAAACTAAAACAGTCTCAGAAGGCAGTAAAGCAAACTGCATCTGGATCATGCAATAAAGCGTCACGATTTATTCACATAGGAACCAAACATGATTGGGAGGATTCTTATTAGAACTACCTCCAAGCAGGCAACAATGATTTTCAAAAGAAAGGCAAGGTCAATTAAAACCGCGCAAACTCAGAATGCTTCCCGGCGCTCAAACATTAAATCCAGAACCTCTGATACAATTTGCGCTACCCTAGGACCATTTTCCTTTCCGTTATTTGGCACTTTATTCCCACGCCACGCCTCTGATGTCCATCAAGATGATATCACCTGCTGTGAAGAAGCCTACAAACGGTTAGGTAGAGGCGGGCTCAGATCGTTGCCGGGGAAACGAGGATAGTTTTGTGCGACAGCTGCCTCTCCTTAGCAAGCCGTCTTTCTTCATCGCGTGCGGGTTGAATCGGGAGCCCCGGTGTGGCTGCCAATGCCTGTCTTCGGGCAGGTGGGAGCAGGCCGAGAGCAGAAATAGAGCCACGGCGATAAGAGGGAGACACAGGTGCAGGAGCGAAGCGGAAACAAGCAGCCATTGGAGGTACTCAGAAAAGCTGGGAGGGAGAGCGTATTTTGTTGCTCTTCTGCGGGTTCCTCTGATCTGGAACCCAACTTGAGGGGTGAAATCTTACTATCAATCATACTGGAGTTGGGAACTTCCTCATACATATCAGGGGAAAAAAAGATATAGTGAAAGCAACGTTCCTGCCATTTAATCGACAAGTAGTTTACAACTTTTAGTGGGGTAGTTAGATTAAAATATGTATCATGTAATGATGCTTCTTCATTTATTTTGGAGCATGTAGGAAATTATTATGACAAGCTTATACAATCATTATCTTGTTGGCCACAGGATAAAAGACTGAATTGTGCAAAGATTTCTGTGTATAAATGTTGTCGGGTTGTATATCATCCCTTAGTATTTTGGAGTATGCCAGGTTTAAAGAGGAATAAGTATGCATCTAAGATTTTTGTTGCATTAGTAAAGCTTTGTGCTCAAAGGCTCAGCATACTTGAGGAAAACATGAACTTGTTAGGATATTGTGACAAGAAACAGGAATCTCAAAACTAATGAATTACAGAATACATATTTATAAGTGTGCTGGTTAAGTATCAAGGTTTTTTTAACTGAAAAAAATATTTGCAATTCATCTGAAAGTTAAGGATAGTTTACTGAACCTGCTTCAGTTTTATTTATGATGTATAAGATTTAAACAATTTGGAACCAGTATATAGCATATGATGACCTTAGATAATTGTTTTTACTGTGTATGTTAAAAATTACAGATGCCATTTTGCAGTTGCTTGAGTACGATTTTGGTGGCTTCTATATTCTGCTGCCATAAGCATCTGCAGACAGAAAAGGAGGCAAGGAGTAAAATATACATCAAAACATCAAATTGCAAACTTGATTACTGAGGAATTTGTGTGAGATATTACAACTCAAATCTGAAAGGACAGAACTTGTGCTTTGGCATTTGGTATCATTGTGATCAGAATGAGACATATATCTAGAACATTCTCTCCTCTAAAGTTTATTAAATACCTAATAGGTATTTTAGATACTGCTGTAGACTTATGTCTTAACCCATAGTAGTGCCCTTATATAGCAAATGTGCCAAAATTATAGTTGTTCATATTTCTGTATGCTAATCTTCCTGCTAAATAAAACTAGCTTGATTCCAATCTTACAAAATATAACTATTTGATGGAGGTAAAACTATCCTAAATTAGGCTACAGAATATTCTGCCTCATCATAAGAAAAAAAATCCTCCAGAGCAGAAAACCTGGCATAAGCAACATGTATACAAAATACACTAGCCAATTTTGTCAATTAGCTATCCAAAATCCACACCCCAATCGTACCTATTTGTTTTTCATTACTACTTTAGTTTCATTCAAATATTGTACATTCTGATAGGAATATTTTATAAGTTAGGGCTGCTTTATTCTGGCTTTTGAAGCATATATCCTGTTTCATTTTTGGATTTGTTTATGAAAGTTTCCTTTTCTTAACATTTATTTACATAAGGTTCTGCACTGTAACAAGTCCTGAAGTAATGTAAACATTCTGAATTAAAGAAATTACATATTTGAAAATATTGATTATTTAGGAACTTTAGTCCATTGAAAGTTCAAGCTTCTGGATTCCTAAGATTTAATTCAACAAATTTGAGGAGAACTAAATGGAAAGAAATCATAGGCACATATCATTTGTTAGTTTTATGTAGAGCTAATAGCCTTTAACTTCCTCATATAGACTGCTAAAACTGTTATAATGGTATTAGCTGCTTGCTCTATATGTTTAAAAGCTGATTATACATGATTAAGCTCTAAAATAACTTTACATAGCCTATCTGCAGAAATATTGAACTTCAGTTTAAAACAGAGGTCCCCAACCTTTTTGGCACCAGGGACTGGTTTCATGGAAAATAATTTTTCTATGGATGGGGGAGGGGGAGTTTCAAGATGATTCAAGTGCATTTTCTAAATAAACAAACAAATAAATAATGCACTTTATTTCTATTATTGTATTAGATTAGACCAGTGACTTTCTGTTTGTAAGAAAATGGGAAGGAAAAGAGACAATCCTAAACTCAGCCTTACAGCAAAACTCTTCCTCATTGCAAGCTGGTTAGGAGCTCTTGGCTTGCAAACTTGGATAGCTGCACGAAGAAAGGAGGAACACACACACATACACCCCCCCATACACAAATACATCAAATTAAACCTCAAAAAACAGGCAGGATATTGCCAAAACACGAGGAAACTGGAGCATCAAAATAAAAGCAAAAAACTCCAATTGAAGTGCAACGGAGCCCAGTGCTCTTAGACAAGAGAGAGAATCCCTTAAGGTGAGAGGTAGCTTCTCCCTGCCCCCATTTGGACCCTGAGAAAGACACCCTCACACACACATATCTTGGAAGGGTTCTTCCTCTAATGAGGCTTTGGGGGAGCCCCCGGTTGCAAGCTGGGCTGGTGCACATTTGTCTTGCAAATGTGGAGAGTAGCAGAAAGGGAGCATGACCCCAGTTGGGGTCCAGGAGGGGTAGAGGAGGGAAGTGAGGAAGAAGAAGAGGAGGAAGAAGAAGAAGCAGGAGGAAGAGGGAGCAGGACCAGGAAGAGGAGGAGGGAGAGGAGGAAGGACGCGGAGCTCATACGTTGCAAACCAGTTGCAAGCGGAGCTGTCAGAGAACCTTGCACTAAGCAAGACAGCTTCTGTCCTGCCACTCTCCCGCCCCTGCCCAGACCCCTGCAGACTTGCTGCATTCCTAGAGGTGGAAGACATGCTTTTAGCGCACCTCCAGCTGTGCGGCCTGGTTCTAAGTGCCTGTGGCCGAGTCCTGGTCCACAGACCAGGGGTTAGGGACCTCTGGTTTAAAAAATAAAGGCATAATCTATACCAAGATTTGATAGAAACTGATCTTAAATAAAATTTTATATGTGTATAACATCTAAAATGCTTGTGATGTGAAGACTTATAATTCATATATAATTTAGGAGAAAAAACAGTTTTTATAATGTGGACAAATTTAAGCTGGGGAATTGCTTTCTTTTCATCTTACCTATCGGTGTCATTGGGATTTCTGGTCATATAAAGCAGAAATGCAAAATATGGGGTTTTGAGTTAAATATTCTATCACTATGCTGATACTATTTAAAGAAGTAAGCAGCTAGCATTAATAGTGGATTAGATTTGTTTTGTGTGTCTTACTTGAAGACAGTTATATTCAGAAGTTGAACTATATACTAGGAACAAATAGATTTTCCCACTTATTTGTCTTGGGATTTTGAATATGGGAAACAAGTTAAATTTGCTTAGACTATGGTAATGATTCTTTAAAAAGAAGTAAGTAACTATTTAGAGCAAACTAAACAGAACATGTGATAGACTTAGATCATTATATACTTAAAATATCAATACATGTATAATTTGTTTACAAGTTCAGTTGTTTATGCTCAGATTCTAAGAATTTTTTTTAGCAAGTAATTTCAGTAAAGTTCAAAAGTCAGAAGTCTAGTGCTTCATTCCTTAACACTGCTTTTAACACAAATTTGTATTTAAGTTGGAACAAGTCATTGCATATCAAGAATGAACAATAACAAACTTGTTTACAAAGTTTTTTTGTGAAGTTTAAACTTATAACTTTAAGTGTTACCCCTTAAAACTGAGTTAGTGGGGAAGCAGACTTCCACCAAGGATAGCCCAATTCAAGTAGAAACCATTATAATTCAATCTGTTACCACTCTGAAGACAAAGTGATCAAACTCAAAATGATAGAGAGTATTCTCTTTCCTTGATATGATGAAATGCGGAACCTGTGGCAATGCTTTTATGAACCACTGAAAAGAGGCTGTAGACTATATTAAAAATATACACCTACTTTGCGATATTCATGAAAACATTAGATGGCTTCAGTGCTTTATCAGATCAAGGAAAAAGAACATTGTTCACCATTTTGACTTGGATAACTTTGCCAGCCAGCTAACCAGCCACATTTTAAGTATTATAACAAGTTAGTTGTCTGTCAGAAACCAATTTAAGTGGGAAATAAGAGTTCTATAGTATTAGTAGTATATTTCCTAGAGTATAATTTTAGTATTTTTTATATACAAAGTCTTTTTCATAAGTTATTTGGTTTTCTGAGTACAGGTAATCCCTGAGTTACGAGTGTTCATTTAACGCTTATTCAAAGTTACATGATGAGAGCTCCCTAGTGCTTATGAGCAAGTCCCGAAGTTACAAATATTACAGCACCATGGCAGTTGTTTGCCTTTACGAGCGACCGCAGTGGCTCTGCAACATTCACCCTGGTTATTCCCTCCCTCCCCACCCCCGGTCCGGGTCTCCCTAGGCACCAGGCCTTCAATAATCACCCTGTGAAGATTGAGATCCTTTGCTTTCTTTGCTGCTCCAGGCCTTTGGTGCATTCGCAGAAAATGGAGGCCTAAAGTAACGCAAGATCATGCGAGATCAGTGGGGCGATATCTCACACTACTGATCTTGCATGATCAAATGGATTTGAGGCCAGGGAATGCTTCCATGCACCCCACGTGGCCCGATCCAGGCTCCAGAGGCCTTTTCCAGGCTGCTGTGGCCTGGATTTGAGTCTGGTGAACACTTCCACGCACCCCACATGGCCCGTCTGGGCTCCAGAGACCTTTTCCAGACCACTGTGGAATGGATTTGAGGCCGGCAAATGCTTCTGCAATCACCCCTTGGCCCGATTGGGCCTGCAAAAGGCCTCTGGAGCCTTTATCGGGCCATGGGGGGGTCACAGAAGCGTTCCTTGGCCTCAAATCCAGGCGGCAGCAGGAACAGCAGCAAAGAGGAATCGGATGTTTTCCAGATGAGTCTGATGCAGCAGGAAGGGAGGGGGAAGCATGCAGTATCTAAGCGGGTCGGGGAGGTCTTGGGGCCTGTTCCACTAGGCCCTCTATGGTCTTCCCCACCCTGAGATACCTCATGTTCGCTTAACGAGCCGTGTGAATTTTAATGATTGAGGAAGTGATCTCATACCTCGAACGAGATTCACTCT